CTTTGATTTCCCAACTTTCTCCCTATTACATTTTCGATTTCATTCATTTTCATGGTGTTTTCTTGTCCAGAAAATCTGAAAATGAAATTCCGGGCTTTCTTCCATTTTCCCGGTTGAGTGGACAACCTGAAAACATGGCTTGCTGATACACAAAAAAAGGAGAAAAAAAAATGTTACAGAACAGCTTCTTGATGCAGAAGACAAAAACGTGTTTCAGAATAACAAAACAAATACATGTTAGAAAACGGAATACCATGGCTTGCTGATGTAAAAAACAAAAACATAAGAGAGAACAGAATAACACCACTTGCTGATACTGATACAAACAAAAACATGTGACAGAATAGAATACCACACTTTCCTAAAACAAACAAAAACACTCACAGAGGAAGGGCCACCACCTCCATCTATCCAGGCTGCCAGAAATGACCAGCCTGTCCAGAAATGACCAGCCTGTCCAGAAAAGGTGCATTGCCATCACATTGAAAAAGCTGAACACACAACAAAAAGTGCGGAACACATCAAAGATTTCTAGAATATTCTCTTTGCAACTGGAAAGAACAGCTAGAGGGCTCCTTATAATGAATATCCTACACACTGCTGCAATCACATATATATCAGCAGAATCATGCATTCTTGAGTTATCCTAAATAAGCCTTTTATTATGCAACACTTGAGACGAGAAACCAGGTGGGAGCAAAAACTGTACAGTCAGACAGGGAAAAGGAACAACAGCGCACAAAAAAAAAAAAGAGCCGTGAACGAGATCCGACCCAAGACCTCCTGCATTCCAGCTTTTGTGAAGAAAACGGTAATGCCTTCTGCCAATAATGCCCTCTATTTCTTGCTTTCAAACTATATTGCTATCTTGTCCCATCTGTAACTTGTAACACAAACGTTCAATCCTTTCTCGGAACAAATGGTATTTTCAAAATGTCAGACAATTGTAGGACAGCTAGTTAATTAAAGACTCAAAGTCTTTGCTGGTCTCGATTTAAAATGTTTCAAACGGACATGGGAGCAAGAAGTACCTTCATCAATACACGCTATCCAGCGACAGTCCCTAGCAACCCTCTCCCTCCCTCCCTCCCTCTCCCCCACCCCTGCTGCCAATTATTCATTTTCCATAATATAAGTGTCATGACGCAGTGGAATCAGGCGATCGTCAATTTTTGGGGCATTTAAAGTTTTTGGTACTATTTGAAAGCTTATTTATTTGCTTTGCTTTCAATGAAAAAAAAATGTCCATCTATCTTCAATAGAAGACAAGATATTAGCAATTTTAGGGGCTGAGTTCACCTGGTTTCAATGGTGAAATTAGACCCCAAAAATGGCCGCCAAAGTTTATTAACTCCATTAGCTAAAGAGTCCTTGAAAACACAAAAATGACATAATTTGTGCCTTGAATCAACGTTTTTCAGTAAAATTCACATGGAAATGTGTTTTTATATGAATATAAAAGGGGTTAAGCTAAATAATAAAAATTCGACAAAATTTGCCAAACTGGCAACAAAAACCAGTTTCTCCGATTTCGTTATTTTGACGAGCGCCCGATTTCACCGCGATGCCTCACATTTATCTCTCTCTCTCTTTTACCTTCATTTAAGCCCACAATTTTTTTTCCTACAAATTTCAATATGATTCATTTGAACGCAAAATTAATTCTATGAACGTTTCAAAGTCAGCTCAAATCATTTTTTGTTCTCAGATAAAAGATATACATACAGATTTTTCATCCGAACACAACGTTGTCTATGCGTTGCTATTTATATTTGTAAAGCAATCAGAGTTTGTGTTCTTTGATCAAAGTAGAGTGCTTAAAATAAATGCCGTATATAATTAGATCTACCCCTTCTCAGAAAGCTAACATTCTTACATGACATACTGAACAAGGCTGGAGAAGAAAAAGACCAAGCACATTGAGCGCTCACATAAAAAGTCTTGCCAGGCTCACTAGCCAATAAAAGGCGGCACAAAAAGAAGCACACGTGAAAGAGGATCCTGTTTACAAAAACAAGCAGTAATTAAAGATACAATGAAAAGTTGAACATTTCATGAACACTTTGATTTCGATGATAACATGCCCAATAAAACTAAATGAGAGCTGTACAAATTGCAGAATAACTTTTTAAAAACACATCATACAGTGGAAATGATTCTGTATGGATTACAAAGATCAGCTGTCGGACATTCAGAGGTTTAAAAAAATGGAAACAAACACAACTGACAACAACAAAACAAAAATTCTTAATCATTAAAAAACCAATTCAAAGAAATACAAATTGTAAAAACGTGGCTATCAATTCACCAATTTTATTCATCACCTGATTTATTAAACTGCACATTTCACTGATAAAGTTCAGACAATAATGTCTAGTAAAATAACTTCCAGACCAGTACAAGACGTCTCAGACAAACACCACAACCCAGAAAGTCAGTGTGATCTTTTTTCATAAGAGAGGGAGAGATGTACGTCTAGAAGTAGAAGTCTAGAATTAGCTAAAAAAAATATACACATTTATACCACAGAGCAGAAACGATTCAGAACAAACAAAAAGCAAAAAGAGTCTGGCACTGATTGATCATTTACAATACAAGTCTTAGATACTTAGAAGACCGCTAAAAAAACAAAACAAGAATTCACAAGACAGACATTTTCTGCCATCTTTATCTCGATGGTCTTCAGGTTCAACAATTTCTGAAGCATTCTTTAGATCTCAACAAAAATAGCAATTTTCTTCAGCCTTCTTTATCCCCCTCAAAGCGAGTCAAACAGAGCTCATTGCTTAACCAGGCACAGAAACTGCAGCGCACCATCATCCTAGTTATTCAAAATGGGGGTCCAAGGACACACAGTGTGTGTGTGTGTGTGTGTGTGTGTGTGTGTGTGTGTGTGTGTGTGTGTGTGTGTGTGTGTGTGTGTTTGTGTGTTAGAAATGTGTTTTACAGGGACCTAAAAGGTGCTGAGGGGGAAAAAAATCTATAAAAATTACCCAACGGGGCAGAAAATAGTTATTTTAAGGAGTACTGATTTCACCAGGAGACCACACACATGATACACTGTCTGCCAGCTGTTCAGACGTACTACGCACAAAATTTTGATTTTTTTAAATTGCAGTTTCTTAATCAGTGGTATAAATAATTCAAACGCAAACAGCATTTAGTCCACGACTCCAGTTCCACATCATGTCTCAAACAAAAAATTGAAAAGAAACCCCAAAAACATGGCAATGCATTTTGGGAAGGACCAAGAGAGTTGTTGCCGTAGGGATGGGTTTTACAACCAATCACTGCAGAACGGTAACAGTCACTTTTTACTGAGCCAGAAAGAAGTAAGACTGAAAATGAAATTTCAATTGGGTCTAACCCTTTCTTTTTTCTTCTTTTTTTGGGGGTAAATGTTTTACAGCGCTCACAACGGGCAAAAGGTCATATGAACGCATGGGACACATTAAACATTTTCAGTTGGTAGGAAATTTTGAATTTTGCCCGGGTGGCGGCCAAAGCCAACTCTTATCCATTTTGGACCACCAAGAGATCTTTAACGTGCGCAACTTGCAGACGGGACCTCCCAGAATTTTAACTCTTGTCCGAGAAGGCTTGGTGTAGATCTTTCCTATCAGAAGATCAGGGATGTGACTGAAAGACAGCAGTAATAAGGAGCCAAGGAGTAGCAGTAGAAAGGCTGCTGGGGGCAGAAAGTGGAGATGAAAGCAGATGACAGAACATTGGTAGAAAGCAGGAAAGGAGGTGAAAGGAGACAATTTTAGAGAAGAATCTCTCTCTCTGTCTCTCTCTCTCTGTCTCTCTCTCTCTCTCAGGTGAGGTGTGCATTGGTATCCTTAATCCTTAATTCAGAAAAACTGGGAAAATGAATAAATAAGACCATATATTTGACTCGAAAATAGCTTCCTAAATGATCGAAATGCGAGTTAATAATAGATCCCCACTTCAAATATTTTAGATCTCTGCTCCATTTCTCAAAAACATTTATCTATGGAGAGGACAGTGAGACTTCTCACAAGACTTTTATTGTGAAGCTCTTCTTTATATGTAGTCAGTCGATCTAGTTTTCTTGGTACTGAGAAATGTTTTATTTTGTGTGAATGAAGTATTACGCTCAGCGATCATGTGATTGATGTAAAGTGCTCAGAACTTATATATCTGTATGAGATCTGGAGATAGAGCACTATATAATAATATAAATGCAATCTGTTGTTATTATTATTATTATTATTATTATCACCATTATCATTATTACTGTTGTTATTATTATTATTATTATTATTATTATTATCACCATTATCATTATTACTGTTATTATTATCATTATTATTATCATCATCATCATTTATTATTATTATAATAATTATTCCCCTGCCACTGTAAAAGGAAGTGAAAAACAAACTGTACCAAAGAACCACCAGCTGTCAGAAGGAAAGTACAAAGACCAGATGGGAAAACTATGGAGTGTTGGTTCTCAGATATTTATTGTTCTGCCATTTAAGAAAAAGAACACATTTATGCACAACGGATATATATGGAAAATGTAGACATTGGAACTCCTGAAACTGAATGCCTCTTAGATAAATGTTCTCTTTCTGTGCAAACCTAAAAACCCAGTTGCTTGGTTTTTCTTATAATAAATAAACACTGGCAAATGATTTCCTTACCATATATATATAGACAGTGTGACCTTATTTAATGCTCCAATCACAGCAGTCAAACAAGCGATCTCTGAGAGAGAAAGCGAGAGAGGGATAGGGAGAGGGAGAAGGACAGGGAGAAAGAGGGGGGGCGGGGGGGGGGGGGGGGGGGGGGGGTGTTGAGAGGGAGGAAAGACAGGGAAAGAAAGGGAAAGAGAGAACAACCCCTCCCTAAAAAGCAACTTTAGATAAATGACCAACTGCATTTTTTTCCCCCCGGAACTCATCTTGTTTTCAGGTCTCGCAAATTCTACAAATGAAAACATTTTTTGAAAAGGCATAAATCTGAGATAAAAAGTTCCATTTTTTATGCCAAAGTAGTTCGTTATAAGTTCGTTACAAAGTCTGTAGCTGACCTGAGGACAAAATATGTTCTTACTATTGTTAACCTGATCTGTACATCGTGTTTTATTCTCGAATCAATACGACATGGGGTCTGTGCCACCACTTTCAAAGAGCATAGCAATCTGTCAAAATGATTTTTTGAGAAATACTGAAAGTATCAAAGAGATCTTCATACTAGAAGTATTCTAAAATGTGAAAAATACAACCGCCGGGTACAAAATGACCCCAGGGCGTATATATAGGGTTAAACATCAAACCCCATGCGTTCATATGACCTAAAGCAGTCACGAAGGGCAAAAAACACTTACTTAAGGAGAAAAATCAAACATGAAGCAACATGGGTCAGCCTTAGGGCGAAGAACTTGGTCACTCATTACAAGGACAAGCAGGAAAAAAATAAGTCTTTTTTTTTCTTCTTCTTCTTTTTAAAAAATCAGACATTGACAATCATAGTTCATCCCTCATTTCTCTGCTACGAAGAATGCTCAACTTTAAAAAACCTTCATTATTCTGGTTTTTCCCCCCTGTCATTCATCTGTTCATCAAGTCATAGAAGTAGAAGTCAAGAAAAAAATCAGCGGTCCACCTCAGTTACTTCTGCCTTCTATCTTTCCAGCGAGAGAAAGATGCCCATGACCGTTAAGTCGATTCAAATAAAATAACCCAAATTTCGTGAAAAATGTGTACGGTATAAAAACACGTAGTATGTACCTTCCCTGTGTGGGGCAAGTGCGCTACTGTCAGAATAGCAGGAGCTTCTGTGACATCATCTGTGCTGAGTATTTCACAAAACAGCTCTAAAGACAAGCAAAGCTTTTTCACAAGTTCCTCTCATGTAAGACAAGAATAACAACAGATATGGCAAAACAAGAGTCCAAATTCTTCAGAACATTCTCTAAATACAAAACACACGCTACAGAGCAAAGCCATATAAAAATTATACGGAAATCTCAAGGAGTGGACAAATGAACACACATCCCCAATCCAGGTAACATTGCATTATCCAACAACAAAATATCTTCTTCCTCGTTTTACTAGTCAATGTACAGTTTTGTGACCTAAACACATCATAAGAAATTATTTTAAGAAATAGATGAATCGAAAACAGAAATAGTATAGTTAACACTATGCATACAATCACAAACCAAAGTGAACTGCACAAACACACAGAAGGAGATCCTCTGCGGGATGGACACTGACGAGGGATTTCTTCCACAGTGTCAACCATTTGGTCAGAAGACAAAAACACAAAAATCTCTGCTGACTACCCAGACCTCCTCACCCTCAGAAAAGGGACCTCACGATACCACAGACAAACCAAAGGCAACTGGAAGAGGTACCATACAGACCACATGAAATCTCATGCTCTTAACAGAGAACTGCTTCGATAATAAATAGAAATAACACACACAAAAAAGCCAAAATAAAGACAACCTGCAAAAATGTTTAATTAAAGCAGCAAATATAAAGCAAATGAGATTGCACTTGTACCAATGGAAAAAAATTGCCAGCCAGAAATATGAGCCGAGGTAACTTTTCAACAACCTGTGAAAACGCTTCATCAAAGTTGTTGGCAGTAACCACAGAGATATTTAGTATTTCCGGGCAGCAAACAATAAAATCATCACTAAAAGCAGATATTGTACCAAAAAACATGGAGGAAAAGTTATCATAACAAGTTCAATATACAATAATGGAATCTTTGAAGCTGAATGCAAACATCGAGGATGCTCTGATCATGAATGAGATGATAGAAATCTTCTCTCCCGAGGTACAACCCCTCCAATAATAAATACAAAGCATGTGAATTGGTTTATGATTGTGAGATAACAAAAACTGTCAACATTTACACATGAGATGGTTTGTGACAATGATATTGACCAGAGAAGGCTTGTTCACGTCCCTGCACTATGTAAATCATGACCTGTGTCCAGAGCCATCAGTTGGGTTTTTTGTTGTTTTTTTGTTGTTTTGTTTTTTTCTTGATAAGCTTGAATCACAGAGACGGAGAGAGAGAAAAAAAAAAAGAAACAAGTAAGATCAAAGTGACTTATGTTTCTGTAAATATCTCATAAATGTGACCTTGGACAGTCTTTGCACTTCTTTTCAGCAGAACCGTTCAGCCTATTCCGACCATTTCACAACGTGTCAACGCAATAACTGAACAGCTCTTTCCAGAGTTACAGAATCAGGTGAAGATTGAAAAAATCGAACTTCATCTGGAAATATCCCACACCCTTTGAGTCCAAAGGTTTACTGACATCACCACAGCCCTCCCTAGCTGGCATCATCGGGAAATATTTCCAACCACCTTTTCTCGAAAAATTGCCGCATGGTGAAACCAGCCTGGCCAACTTCTGACTCATCCTCATTGAAAGTCTCACAGTTGTTGAAAATCAGGCGGATGTCAGCTGCGAAATCCTGTCGGTGCTGGTACCTGCAAGGATGTCAAACGATTTAAATTTTAGTCAAATATATCCAAAACGGCCACCTATTGTCCCTGAGAAAAGTGCTTGTCTAGGACAGGTGGGTGTCTTGAACGTCTTTATATTTAAAGAATACATGGGTGAAGTGTACATTGGTCATTTGTACAGGTGACTGTCTTGAACAGGTGGTCGTTAGAGCAAGACGGACATATAATACATGATTTAAATGAATGTACCACCCTGCTACATGCAATCAAAGGCTAGACAGGTAGTTGAAGGAATAACACAATTTTTTTTTTTTTTTCAGAAAAAAGCAAGTGAGAGAATGATGGGGAAAGTATGGTGATAGAAGGGGGGAAACAAATTTTTAAAATGTGCAGAATTTCCTAAAAGAATTCCTCATGTCAGAGCACAACGTCTCAACCTCTTGAAACTATAAGTTCATTTCTAAACAATAAATATTGTTTTTCCATTGAATAATGTCTCAAATGAAGAACAAAGAAAGACTTTCTTCATGGCACATCAAATGTCACTGCCCACCCTGCTAGAAAAAAAATAATTAATAGCTTTGTTTAACGAAAATTCCCATTCAACAGCAAGCTCTATGCACTTTGCAATTCTCTATTATTACCCCAGCAGGCCTGATAGCATTCTGAAACAATCTCAATTTCCTGTGTAGCATTAAAAATTCTATTATCTTTTCACGGTTTTCAACAAACTATTTTAGCGGCGGAAAAGAAAAAAAAAGTAAAACCTGCCCTACCTGTAGGAGAAGTTTGGCTCCATTGGTGTGTATATTTGTTTGGTTATAGACAAAGCAAGCATATTCAAAATTCAAAGACCGGTGTCTGTGGAGTGGTGGTTAAGGGTTTCCTCGTAGCAGGAACAAAACCGGAATTCGATTCCCCTGCGACGAAAATTTTCAATCAAGTACTATATCAGTTTTTTTCCAGCTGGGACATTGTATCCTTCTCAGACAGGCATACCATGCTTTCTACCTGATTTAAATTGTGTAAAGCCAACATTTTTTTTTAAAATGTTAAAACAGACATATTGCTATCTTAGAATTAAAAAGTTCTATATGATATTTTTGGTTGTTTTGAGGTCAAAAACCAAGTCTTCTATCTCCTCCATCAAAATTGTAAGATTATTTGAGTCATTATCAAGAAATTCAAAGAATTGCATTTAAAAAAGCTGTATATTAAATATTTGGCAACTTGGAAACACATGTGTCACTTTTCCAAAAAAAACTATGACAGCTACAGAGTTGAAAGTTGGCAAGTACCTGCGAAAAGATAGATAGGTCCCCATGACGGAGCCCAATTTTTTATTTATTCATTTCCTGAATTTATAAAAACATATTCGGCAAACAGTTCCCATGCTTCCTTGGCCTTTGTAATTATTCCACTGGGAAACAAAACAAATCTGCATAGCTGTCCTTCACAGTGGAAGTGCTGGAAGTGACATTTTGCAAGGCGCATTTTGTTTTAAGAGTATAAATCTAGACCTTCTAATTTTTTTTCATCTCTCAAGATCTATTGCTCCATTACAGTAGAATGTAAATATAGTAGGACAATGACTTTCAGTTGATGTTACTGCACTGATCGTTCCTTTCGTCGAAAGGGGGCCAGTTAGTTAGCCATAACTCACTCCTTGTTCTTGAGCTTTCCCTTGGCCGTGCAGAAGTCCATGGGAGTCTTGATATACTTCCGGTACGACGGGAACTGCTTTTTGTTCACGGGTTTCAGGAACGGCCACCCGTCCTCGTGTTTCTCCAGCTCAGTCAGCAGTTTCCTGGAATAAATGGGACAAAAAAGCCTACATGTACTAAGCCTTAAAATTTGTAATTGTTAATTTATTTAGTTGCAGTTTCATAATTTGTAGTATCTGTTGCATGCTCTCAAGAAATGTGCTGTCAAAATGCAGATTTATAGCGTTGAAAAAAGAAAAGATACAAAACGTACGTACAAATGGTGAAAATTATGAAACAGCTTTTCCTCTCCTTTTTGCTTTCCGGGCTAAAGACATTTGAACAGCTTGTCCACACAGTCTATTTTTTTCAACTATAGCCGGCAACTAGGTAGAGCGCAGCGTTGTTATTGCCTTTATTCCTTCTTGCATGTGACTAGGTCAGTTTGTGATAGTAAGCATATATATGTGCAGGTATAGATGTGTATGGAAGAGGACGTGTGAGAGAGTAGTTTTGTAAAAAAAAAAAAAAGCATAACTTCATCATTCATACAGATTTTTCAATCCAATTTTTTAAATCTGCAACTTTAAAAGGCAAACAGCAACACACAAGCTATGAAGCAGGCAGATTCATACTTCTGATTTGTGTATGATGATTCTAAAAGTGTCCTAACATTTCTTTTAGTCTGCTGTCTCTGACATATCACTACTTTAGAATTACAAAGTTTAACACCAACCCACTCGCTTAACACTAACCCACTTGCTACCACAGACATTGTTATCTTTACAGACAGCCTCTCAACACTAGAGACACTTCAGAGCAGGACTAGTAGTATAGTATAGTATAAGGTTTTACGGCGCTCGCAACTGCTAAGGTCGTATGAGCGCGCGAAACACAAGTTGTTCACTTTTGCAAAAGTTCACTTCACGACTGGTTAACTAATTTACTTTAAAATGCTAAAAAGTTAAAATATTTAAATTCGGTGTAAATTCTGATGTGATATATCAACCTTGATTTGGAGTCTACATAATTTGATAAAGAGGCACCATATCAGAGTTGTCCTACAATGGATTCCTGCTCACACTGGGATACCGGGAGATGAAAGAGCCGATGCCCTAGCAAAGAAAGGAGCTAGCCTCCCTCAGCCTGATATTCCTACTGATTACACCACCTGCTGTCAAATGATCAAGTCAAACTTCAAAGACGACAGGATGAATGCCTGTTGTGAACCTCAAAATTTTTTTACGTCAAATTTCCTTGTAATTCTAGAGTTGTGATATGGTTGCTTTTAAGGACAAGCGGGCTAACCAAGATTTCGGGTGTTTCCAGAAATCTTGACATACACCAAAAGTGGGCATCGCCCTACCTGTAGGAGAAGTTTGGCTTCATTTGTGTGTATATTTGTTTGGTTATAGACAAAACTCTCCTTGTCTTTTATAGAAACTAAACAAGGGGCACAAACTTTACCTTCGATTTTCTCAAAACAGCATTTTTCGAGATAGCGCCCTTGTGCTTAGAAGCAACCATATGTGTCCACTACATCCCTAAAGAGTTCAACAACGCTGGTGCACCTACCCACAACTTGTGAAATCCTTGAGCCTCTCTTTTTCTTTTGTCTTCTCGTCCATAACTGCTGCACTCTTTTCACTCTCCTCTGCTTTCTCTCCCTTCTTCTCCCCTCTCGGCTTTCTCTCTTTCTTATCCTTGGCCACTTTTTCTTTCTTCTCCTTCTTCTTTGGGGGAGGCGACACTTCCTCCCCTGCCGAAACATCGACTGACCCCGAGGGTGTCGCTGCTGCCGTTGATGTTGATGCTGCACAAGTGGCTGCCGTGGATGCGGCTGGGGAGGCCGATCTACTCGGTGCCGCCTCTTCGTTCTTCCCTTTCCTCTTCCTCCTCTTCTTGTCAGCACCGGAGTCCTCAGCACCAGTCGCCTCCATTTTGTTACCATTGGCAACAGCTTTACCTGTGGGAGTAGACAAAATCCTCGTGTAAATTATCGACACAACATAAAGACATACTCTCAGTAGATGCATTGGTTCTTACTACCTCCAGTACTAGTACTATTTTTTTCAGTGAAACTTCAAATCTATCTGATGCCGTCTGAAAAACTTCAAACCACATTGTAACAGTAAATCTTAATTGAAAACTAGAAGATTTATCTGAAAACTTTATAATCTATCTAAAAATTTAAAACCATATATGAAAACTTCGAATCACACTGAAAGAACTTCAAACCTGAACCTTCAAATCATATTAAAAAATCTTCAAATCTTATAGAGAAAACTTCAAAACATATGTGCAAACTTAGAATCATATTGAAAAATCTTCAAAACATATTTCAAAAACTTCAAATCAAATTGAGAAATCTTTAAAACATTTTTCTAAAAACTTCAAACCAATTGAGAATACTCCAAAACATATACGAAAACTTCAGATCTTATCACATCCCTTCAAAGCTCTGATCTTGTCTCACCTGAAGGCAAGGAGGCAACAGCTGGGCTGGCTGCTCTAGAGGAGGACGTAGTGGCGTCTGCCAACCCCGAGGAGAAGCTGGACAATGGGTAGTCATCAAAGTCCTGGGGCTCTTCCTTGACCACCAGTTTGGTGATGGTGATACGCTGGACGGTTGGGAGGCTCTCCTTCCGCTTCTTAGAACGTTTTGAGTTGGACTGAATGGGGGGGTGTTAGATTATTTTTTTTAAATGTAGGTCCATCTGGTATGATAAATTTTAAAATGTAGGTCCAGCTGGTATGATAAATTTTTTAATGTTACCGTTGCAAGAGAAAAAAAATTTAATTATCTCAACTTGCCAAATAAAAGAAATAAATTACAGTCAGACCTTCTCTAATAAACGTATGACCAAGATAATCACCTGTACAAACGACCACTTCCCAATTTCACCCTCGCATTTTTTCTTTATTATAATGGCACTGTCTAAGATGTCCACGTGTCAAAGACAACCACTTTCCTCCACAACAATAGGTGGTCGTCAGGGATAATTTAGACTGTACAACACACAGTGCTCTCTGCATGTAGACTACAACATGTTCATGCTTATTTTTACATAAGTATCCAGAGGAGAGAATTTCCTCCCCAAGACAATAATTACCTTCTCCGCTAGACAGTTGAGACACTGCCACCTCTTCGGCGTGCGAGGGAGAGGAGGGTCCAGGCACTCCAGATGGATGCAGCGAGGGCACTTCTGGCAGGACACCATCTTACCTCCCTTGTTGCCGCAGATGCCGCAGTGAGGTACACCGCTGGCCTGTAAGTTAAGACAACCACATCCAGTCAGCAACACACAAACATTTTGAAAAAAAAAAACAACTTGCTCTTTGGCGCAGATGAATACAGACTTCCCTAGACTTAAAAACTCTTGTGTGGGCTACTATTTTACTGCCTCTTCTTGTCTTTGAAAGCTGATAATAATTGTGACTTTTTAAAAGTTTTTAAGTGCAAAAATGAGGGAAACATCATATTATGAAGGCAAACATGGGACACATGAATAAAGATATATAAATGCCCATGTTTGTGAATGGAACTGAAATATTTTCATTATCTGAGCAAGAAGTATTTTACAGTACAATTCATGTTTAATTTCAGGTTTGTGAAAAGTAAAAGCTAGAGAAACATTTTCTCTGGTACTTACTTTGGACACACACTCATAGCAGAACCAGTCTCCTTCAGGAATATTTTCCATTTTCGGCTGAAATTTAAAAAAAAAACAGTTAAAAGATCAATCATTAAAAAATATCTTCTGCAAGCCAACTAAGCCCTCATTATCTAGAAAACTGCACGTACATTTAGAGAAGAACATAAATTTATGTCTCATTGCGTGGTCATCCCACTGCCTCTTGAAGTTGGGTTTTTTTCTAACATGTTCATGTGTGTTGGTTTTTTATATAACCTGGAATGCAAGAGTCAACAAAACTGATCTGCCTACCAGCTAGACCACCAATGCCATCTAATTTCCTAACTCTTGGTATTACTATTTATCAATTCCTGCCATTTTTATGCTCTGAGCTATGAAACTATCTAAAAAGAATATGTTACCAGCAAGAAAATAGAAGTCTGTCAAAGACTTTATTTATCATTTCTTGGTGTCACTACTAATTAATTCCTGGCATTTGTATACTGTGAGCTACGAAACTATTCAATAAGAATATGTAGACAGCAAGAAAGGGAAAGAATCATCTATCAAGCACCAAGAGAGGAGTTTGCGCACCTTAAAACAGTATGTGTGAAAACCCTTGTCGCATCCGTCACATAGCAACAGCTCTGCCTCGTTGTCATCCTTCCGACAAATCTGACAAGTCTGTGAGAAACACAAGACAAATTGTTTATTTGGTTAAGTATCTACGGGAAAAATTAATATTATTTCCACAAAAATGTATTCATGTTAGAAAAAAATGAGAAAAAAACCCAAGGATTTATCAATTCCGAGGGACAAAATGAATTTACTAACTACTTCAAAAGGGGAAAAGAATGGATTTATTATAATTTCTATACAGGATTAATCATTTGTGAAAAAAGAAAGATTTATTCAATCTTTAAAAAAGACAACCCCAGAAGGAAAGGACAGAAAGCCAAACAGAGCAACGGAAATAAACAAAGCAAATAATAATAATAACAATAATAATCATAATAATAGTAATTGCATTTATATAACCCATATCCACATTCTACAGCAGGTTCTATGTCCAGAAGGAAAGAAAGAAAGAAGAAAGTAGGAAGACATAAGCCCCGGTGCTACTGACCACTCTCATGATGCTCTTTTCCCACGAGATGGACTTGGCCAGGAGCTGCGTGCACAGACTGAGCTGCGCCGGGCTCTCCGCCCCCACCACAGCTTGTCGCCATAGCAACAGCCCCGGCGGCACGTCCTCTTCCTGGTCCGCGTCCCCGCCAGAGCGGTCTCCCTGAGATGATGATGATGATGACGATGCCAGGCTGGAGATATTCAGTGGGGAGCTGCAAGATGGAGGGTAAAAAAAAAACGTGAGAGGTTGATTTTGAATGTTTTATTTATGCCAAATTGATTGACGCAGGCCAGACTATTTAACCTATCTGTCCATTCGGCTGCTCACAGGGACTCTGGGTTTTTCCCGCTGTTGCCATTCCACCACTGTGAGCGGCTCAACGAAATCCGAAATGAAATCGGAAATGAATGTGCACTTTTTAACAGTGTTCCTACTTTTTAAGTTGTCGAAAGGAAGTACAACTTGTAAACATTAACAAGCCTGACCTCAATCTCTGAGCGTCATAATCGATCGAAACTCTGCGAACTTCTAACAAAAATCATTGTTTTGTTGTCGCTATGCAGTTGCAATGTAAACAACATGGAGCCTCGTATAATAGAAAGGCCCTTCAGTGAAAAATATTCAACTAAATTTTCTATGGATTATAAGGACTTATAGAGCTGAGAAAATGAGGTACGTTGAAATTTTCTAAGATGTGTCGCACAACTTTTTTTTCTCATTCGTTTTTGTCTAAGGAAAATTACAATACAATCAGAATATACGTTATTGTTATTGATATAATTATAATCCTGTATTTATTCCCATCATTTGGTTTATGATAATACATGCGTTCACAATAATGCATCAAATAGATGCAGCTCGGGTTAAAAATGGAACAGGGAAAAATAATGGTCCACAGCATGAAAAAATCATGGATGGAATCAGTTAAGAGTTAGGCTACAATGTCTATCTGCTTTTCTGTCTCTTTGTCTCTCTTTCTGCCTGTCCATCTGTTCTTTCTCTCTCTCTTTTTGTCTCTCTGACATACATCAGATCGTTAGAGAGGCCAGCTGCAATCTCTCTCTCTCTC